ACGAATGCAAATCAGGTCCGGGTCAACAAGCCCACACCACCTGCTTACTCAAAACCAATAACAACCATTTCATCACCTCATAATTATATCATTGCTACGAAATATGCGACAGCAGGACGAGCCACACCAGCGTATGTGTTACAAAGTAGTGAGCCGGCGGACCATTACTGCTTCGCAGTTTGATCTCCGGGAGCACGATAAAGGCAACTTTGTAGGATAGGCAAGAGCCGCAAAGATTGCCTCGATATCTCTGGATCGAGACGCTCCCGGGGATGAGTTTTAGGTAGGGTCTTACTGTCTCACAATAGATCTATTGACGACAGACAATCGCCGCTCATCCGAGCCTAGATAGCACATCCTGGGGTATACATTCTTTGGGAACGCTAATTATCGCCTAAGAGTAAGGATAAGCACAAGCCATTTCAGGTAATGAAATCACACACCTTGCGCACAGCATCCTGCCCACCGACCTCCCAACCACTCTCAGCAACAGGAAGCATGACACGTCCCAACAACCGTTCGACCAATTCTCCAATCCCATACCTTTCACCAGTATACTTCCTCCACGCCAGTATGTTCACCAACAACTTGCTCATCTTGGAAAGATACCTCACTCGCGCAGGGACAGACTCCGGATCAAACGGCGGTGGAGCTTGCGACGGAGCAAGGTACGGCCCGACCTGAGTCTGGGCTTCGTCCACGGCCTTGCGAAAGGGTACGATACAAGCACCGAGAAGGGAGCCTATTTTGGTCGTATCCGCCTCGAGCGTCGCCTCGATTTGTTCCGCTAGATCTTTCAATCGCCTAATGTGCCTCGCGCTGTAGGGGTCTAGAGCACCACCCTGGACAAGCTTGGCCACCCGAGGAATGACCGCCGTGGCTACCATGGACAGCACCAAGTCTTCGTCAGGTGTAGGCTCTACTGACTCACCCGCGTCGTTGACTGGGCGGGAAAAGTCGTGTAATGAACTATACCATCTGAATTCATCCAGCGAGCGACGATCCTACATTCATAATTCATAAGTTGTCGAGTAAAAGATTAAAATTACGTACCACCATGGGATCCCATAAGCAAATCTCCAGCCTACACCACATCTCCCAGGCACCGACCACACCAAGGGAACCCCACGCACCCTGATAGCTCTCCCCCCACGTACTTCTCCACTTTCCAAACCACCTCGCAACCCCTTTTCGAGGATCCCGAAACTCTTCAGACGTCACGTCCGCAAACACACCAACGGCACGCTCTCGAATTCGTTTCACTGCGACCTCGAAATCACGCTCGTCGTCAGAAGCGAGTGATCCATCAGTCGAATATCCCTCGTCGGGATGGGAACTCGCTCCAGTGCGTTTGGTTCTCCGAGATTGCCGTGCCGTGCGGCGAGCGCGACGGACGGCAGATTGAGGGGCTGAGGAACTGGGAAGGGTTTGGCCGAGATCGTCGACTTGTTCCATCTCGGTTTCATCGGTTGGAGGGGCTCCAAGGAAAAGCGAAAGATCGTCTCCAAGATCTTCGTGGCGTCGCTTGGTCAACATTTCAGCACGCTCGGTAAGAAGTGAGATAAAATCTTCTTCAATCTTCTCAATCCTTGGAAACTATACAAGCATTAGTAACAATGTAATACAATGTAAAACTCCAACCTTTTCGTCCAAAAAGTCTGCCAGGCTCTCCATCCACTCCTTGAAGCCGTCAAACCAAGCACGTTTATCTTCTGCCTCGGTTACAAGCTCTCGTAGCCTCGCTTCCTGTTGCTCGAGAGATGTGCGTTCGTCTCCCAAAGAAGTCAACGACTTGGTGTTGCTAGCGTGTGATGTAGTCAACTTGGTGAGGGCTTGGGTTAACCGGGCAACGGCAGGGTCTAGCGTAGGCACTGGCGTTTGGACTGGAACTAGAGGCGAGTCAGTCATGATGTTCATACCAAACATTGAACACGTACTTGGATGTGGCTTGTAAACCTGCTTCTCTTCTACAACCAAAGTACGGTTGTTGTTGCCGCCTCTTCTGACCTGCGCCAACTCCCAAGCTTGGGTCTCCTCGTCATCCTCTTCACTACGCCAAGTCAGTGCAAGTACTAGGAATAAGCAAACACACTCACACATCCTCGATCATCTCAATCATTCCCGCTTTCCTCTGACGCTCTGCTTCCTTCCTCCCTTTCTTTCCCAACGCAATTCGTTCCTGTGCGCCAGTATACTCCGCATCATCGTCATCGCCTTCTCCCAAGTCGTCTTCCTCCCGCATGAGCCGACTTTTAGGATGAGGCCCTTGGTCCACCTCCATATCATCACGTCGCGTCACAGACAACGAAATGAAACCGTCCGAAGGTGCTGCGTTGCCAGTAGCACGCATACGCTCGCGTTTCCTTTTCGCTTCAAGTACTGCAGAAGACATGGGTATTTCAGTTGGACGTCCTGCGAAAAAAGTAAGTACAAGACGAGACGTAGGCGACGCCAACGTACTATCGAAGACATCGCCTGCGTCGAGTTCATTATCGACCACCATAGCGCCATCGGCTTCCTCGATGTCCAACGTCATTTCCACATCTTGTGTGGCGGGCGTTGTCGCTGATAAAGTGGCTGCCTTGAGTTCGTCCAGGTACGCCTTGTCATACACAGGGCCAGAGCTTGTCCTTGAAATACTAGCTTGCTCGAGTGAATCTGGCATCCGAAGACTGGAAGAAAGTCAGATGCCAGCACACAAGCAGTATGTTCACGACGTACGCAGCGGGATTTGCCAGCTTGCTCTTCCTCCCAGACTCCTGCCTCTTGGGAGTCGTTCCCTCCGACCCATCCTACCTCGCACCAGATCAGAATCAATCAGAACTTTTTCCACGAGAATCACGATCGCTCACCTCCTCGTCCTGCCCAAAACTCAACTTTGCACGCGCCTTTTGTTTGCTCTTGAACTTGGTCATGAGGCTCATGGCCCCAGGACTTGACTCTTCTTTGTTTGCACCATTATCTGGCCCGGGGAAAGGTGGACGAGCGCGGTTTGGGCGTGATTTGGTACGTTTGAAGATTGGAGCAGGAGCGTCAGACATGGACGTTGGATGGTGAAGTGTGACAAGCGCTAAGGTGGCTGTACTATGTCACGTGCTCGAACCAAACTGCAAGTTGAAATTCATGGATACCTCGTACAGTATAAGTCTCATTTATCGAAGTTCCAGTTTCAGTGTTCCTATAGAAGTTGACAAGCATAGATCACAAAATCGAGCGGCTCAAAGCTCTTTGATCAATGATGAGCTCAAACTCACCATACTTATAAGTGTCCGAGCATTGACGGTGATTCGAACCTGGTTAGCAAGCTAAGTATACCCCTCCTGGTTGCGCATATAGTCTCACTTACTCCTATTCCCCAAAACAATCAACAACGTTGGTTTTATATTTAATCATTCTATACGACGAAGCTCACTGAAATATCTGAATTGGCTGTAACGGCTGTACAGAAGCTGTTGTTCTGCTTTGGCAGGCAAAAACTAGGGTCAGCCATGGTTTGGTGGGGGCAAGAGAGGTTGTGGTTCTTTGTATTTGAGCCCACGCCATTCAGCAGCCAAGGTGCCACCTTCAACAAGCGCTGACGGTTTTCCATCTCCAAATCGCAAATAAAGTAGCATTATGCACACCAGGGCTATACAGTCGGACTCATTGATTTGCATACGCTTAGTTTACACGAACGCCGGAAACGCCGGAGCTCAAAATGTATACAACTTTCTGTTTTTATATTTGATTAGATCTTGTAGTACCGGAAGGTCAAGATAGTTGGTGCATACAAGTGGTAAAAATACCACTCAGACCCTCACGCGGAGTTACCGGTTCGTACAGACTAGATAGTAGATAGATGACTATGAAGGGAGGATATTATCGTTTGGTGGTGATTGGATGTGCCTAAGCCTACACTAGGAGCGCCGATGGGGTTCGAGCGAGCTCCAGATAGATACAACGCCGCTGAAATCTCAACTGGGTCCTGATACTATGGATTTTGAGCTATTTATAGGTGGTCTCTTGGTCTCATGGGGTCGGAGATAGGCTATGGGTCAGATACCGTATATGCGTTATCGAGGGTGAGTATAAGGTATGTTTTTGTAGTTTTAATGGCAAATCCCGCTTGTTTCAGTGATAGAATGCGTCGCCAGTGATTTTAATCGCTTACAAGCTCGATTATATACGTATTGAAGCGCATGTAGTGTTACTACACGAGAAATTTTCAGCATAAATAGGCTTAGGATTAAGCGCCGATATACTAGTCACTGCATCACTCACTGTCCCCGAAGATGGCGAAAGGTAGTACATCGATGGCTTAACAGTTACTCCTAGCGCATATAAATGAGAGTGCGGATAAGACCGTGGTACGCAATATTGCGTTAGATTAGGGATGTTGAGAGTTGATAAAACTAGCCTCGGCTGAGCTTCAATCAGTACCTCAGCTAGGCCCTAACTCGATTTGAAGCACCAGTAGCTTTCCTTTTGCCTCCTGAAATGGTATTTTCTATGGGGCCGGTGTAAATGGCGTGCATATAGGATGCACATCAATAAGTTGAAGTCCTCGGCTAAACCGGTGCGACAACTCTGAACCCGAGTTATGCTAGTGGTTTGAGGTATTGTTCGGGGCCCAGTTTTGCCAACTCTAGAGTCCAAGTCACTACCATGAGAGAGTTTATATGCGTGTGGGCAGATAAAGGAGATAGGGGGAAATATAGGAACCTTGGGCAATGAACGGCTAGGAATAACCAACGTACAGACGGGCTCATAACTATATTATGCAAAACAAGCTACGCTACTACAAGGAGAAAAGAGCCGTATAGTTTACCAACTGCTCAATGCGGAGTGCTCGAGAGACTGGTGAGCGCTAAGCACCTGTGGGTTTATCACGTGCCCCAACACCTACCTCGCTGAAATCTCGGCTGAGGTATAAACTCCGTGAAGGAGTGTAAGAATTTCCCACAGACCAGTGTCATAGCGATGGTGCATGAATTGTAGTATTTTGGGGGCTCGATAACAACTCCCGCTTAGCTCAGTGGTAGAGCGCGTCACTAGTAATTTCCCGCGACTTGAACGGCGTTCAATAGGGGTTTGCACAATGACGAGGCCACTTGTTCGAGTCAGGTAGTGGGAAATCCTTTTTTGCGACTCTTTTGAGCTACTGTAGCCCCAGATACGCGTCCTGTGCGTCGAGAACGGAGGTACAGAAGTAGGGCAATATTTTACGAGTCAATCGGCTCATATTTGGTCCATAGCTTGATTACAATAGGCTATTAGTGGTAGGGGAAGCCACTAGTATTTATGCTCGAATTTTCTGACCCACGCAAAAGGTGTTTCAGCGATGGATATATGCGCTATACGCCAGCCTGGTTGGATTAGGCGCCAGGCGCTTGGTGGCGCCTACCTGCTTCAAACGTACAAACCAAGAGTTATGGTGCTCAGTTGATGTAATAGGTGCGACTGTAACCACTTAGAGAACTGAGCGGAAGGTTAAAGTAGTCATCGGGCTATATGCTGCTTCCGACTCAGCCTTATGATACCATATGTTCATGTATTGAATACTCGATTTTCTATCTTTCTGCAAGATGATGCATAAGAAGTTTGTGCTTGTTTTATGTATCCTGTATATCATTCTAGTGTTGCGCATGCAGCACATGTTTCATACCGTGCAAGTTACTCTCATCGACGGTAGCTGTAAGCTAGTAGTGCAGACAAGCATTACTGCCTATCATACTGTTTGCGCAGTAGTATCAACGCCAACGGCCATTCAGCAGTAAATCCTTGCTTCCAGCCTTCTATATCAGCCCCTTTGAGCTTCTCTCCTTGCTCCCTCACGTCCTTCACGAAGCGATCAACAATATCTCTCCCCTCCTTGTCCTTGTCGTTTGGATGGCTGTCGAGGTAGTTATGTAAAGACGACCACGTCCGTAAATACTGGTGAAGTGCATTCCAGCTTAGATACTTGGTGAGTATAACCGGATGTTTCTCGCCCTGCATGTTGGGCTCGTGTGTTCCTACAAAGTAGACCCTACGAATCGAAGCAGGATCCCAAGGTGGCGTAGCCGGAACCGGCACTTTTTTGAGATAGCCCTCGAGAATGGATCGACCTGTGCGCTCTCAAGCTTCTCAAGCACGCATATGATCGACTATTTCTCACCTGGCTGCTCCCAGTACGGCCCCAAGCTATCCTTGTCATGAGAATATCTCGAAAGCAAATGATCCAATGATGGCCGCCCTCCAAACCTCAGTTCGTTGTAGTTCCAAATCGCAGCTGTTCCGCCGGGTTTGAGTGCCCGCGCGAGCTCTGGAAATAGCTTGCTATAATCAAACCAGTGGGCTGCTTGGGCTACACTACCTTGTCACGTAAACTGTCTTAGGACAAGAGCGATACGCACCGGCAATAGCCATATCAACCGACTCGTCCCCCAAAAACGACAACTTTTCCGCCGGAGAAACCTCAAACGTCGGTTTGTTCACTACATTTGCCTGTTCAACAGCCAACCGAGCATTCTCCACCATTCCAGGCGAAGGGTCACACCCGACGGCATGTTTGAAACGTTCGGCGACCGCGATCGTCGCTTGACCTAGTCGACGTCAGTCGATCATCATTGGACGAGATAGACAACCTAGCCTGTCCCACACCCCAAGTCTACCACCTTGTCCCACCCCGCACGCCCCGACTGTGCATGATAGCCGTATATAAACTCAAATAGTGACTTGGGATACGTCGGCCGAAACGACGCATACGACGCGGC